CGTGAATAATTAAGCCATCAAACAATGAACGGACTTCCCACCGTCTTTGGCCTTAGTATTACCTCAGGCGATAAATTGATATTGCCATAGCAAATTCGATTGCGGTATTCTCTCTATTTTATTCAAATCTTAGCAGATTAATTAGGATTTGAGCCGATCAGTCGTGCAACAAACTTTCACATTAGTGGGCAGAATAGAGACGATATAGGCGCCTTGGTTCTGTCTGTCTGTCTGCATTTGCGCACAACAACAACCACAAAAAAACGAGTGAAAGTGAAAGCACATTCGCGTAATCAATCAATGCCAACTTCAGAGACTGAGGTGAAAAAAAAATCAATAACCAACAACTACGAAAGCCTACAGAGGAAGACGTACACTAATCACCAACAGCTCCTCAACACACACAGAGGGAGAGAGAGTGGACAAGACTCTAGAAAATTGGTCTGAGGTCGCCTCTTTCCGTGCATTTAATCGTCAAATTGTGGAAATATTTTGAGTTACAGTGAGTGTACACCCAGATGACAAGCTAGAAGTGATGACACGCATCTTAACTCAATGGGAAACCATTTCAACGACTGCGTTCCAAGCGTCAACAACGCCATTTCAATTAAATTGTCCACTAGGCGTACTTTCATTTACTCATCAAGCATTAATTTTATTTAATAAATCCACTATGAGACGGTGTGATTTTTCAATTTCGTTTTCAAGGACTTCCAGAACACAGCAAGTGTGTACAGCTTTCACAAGTGACTTGCAGTGCTAGACTTTAAATGGATCAATGTCTGACCGATAACACTACCAATTCAACGACCCACTGCAATTATTTTTTTTCTATTCAACGCGCGCTGTCTTATGGCTTTTCCCAGTTCAGGGTTCATGTAAGCTTGATCTTCTTTGCATAGGACCGATGTGGAAAAGTCAAATCAGATAATCGAGAAAGTAAGGGAATTTGAAAGAGCGGAAGAAAATTGGATAAGATTGCTTCCAACAAGTTATGAGTTAATGAGCATTTCGAGAAATTTCGATTGGATATAGAAATGAAAGCGATATTGAATTAATTACACTCCATAAACCTGGTCTTCCCTGAGAGTAGCTCTTCATCAATGGAACTTCTTTGTCTCCTTTTTCAAAGGCAGATTGAGAGAAGGAGACGGTTAGGGGAATTTCGTAAAGCAGCCCACGTTGTTAGCAAAGGCAGGGAAAGCATAACTAGCCAATTAACACACTACTCAAATTTATTAACCTCGTTTAATGCCCCCGATATATCTCAAGGGTGGGTGTGAGATAGACTTACCTCCAGGTGATGCACACCCTAGGCAACGTATTCTCCTATGGCAAAAAGTCTATAAACCGGGAGTTGATTTCTGACTCCAAACTACCATCACCCCCACTGTATGTCATATTCCATCACTTCCAGAGTACTCACCTTACCTTTTCTCTGCCTCTGTGTCTGTCTATCTCTTTTAAGTCCGTGAATCACTTATCTCTTCCCCCTCTCGCCTTTTTGCAACTTTGGTGTTCCTCCCCTCTGTGAAGCCCGAAGTCAACTAAAGGGCTAATGATAACAATCATAAAGCCTGACTTTTGATTTAAGTAAATATATCTCGAGGTCAGTATTAGAAGTAAGAAGGGTAAGACGCCTTGACACCTCAACGTTAATCTAACCAACTTGTTCATCCCCACTCTTTTCATTCTTTGTTTGAATGCTTGCTACTTGATGTCGGTTGATTCCACAAGTGAAACACAAAAAAATGATAGCAAGTACATATCGGATTCAGGATTCTCCGCCAATTCTTCAATTGTCCCACGAAGGTGGACTAGTACAGGTGTCGATGAGGACGCCACTCTGCTTTATTTGGCATTCAATGCCGCAGTTGTTCATTGCTTGCGAAAAAGGAGCCTGTTGAACAAGGTGAGAGCACTACACTCCCCAATTCCCGGGTTTCACAGATTAGAAAATAAAAAAATACCCCTAATTATTTGCAGGATTTTTTTCAAGCATAATAGACATCCCAGATGAAATGCGTTGAGCAAGCTTTCCACATTTCAGGAGTCAGTTATCTCACACAATGCAAGAAAACTTTAAAGTCTGCTGCTACCGGAAGCACTGACACAGAGGAAGATCTTACATTAGTGAACTAGTGAAGCAATTTAGTAATTGGATTGACTAGAGTAATTCAGAAGCTTTCAGAAAGAAACTCACTAAAAACTACTTCCACGAAAAGATTACCATCTTCTAAACCCCCCCCCCCCCAAATATACTTCAAATGGTTCGGGTATTTGGATGACTCAGTCTTGTAGATATTTTAGTTTATGCGATTAGGCGCCTTCAGGTCTGTTTTATATACTTTTATTCCGCCTGGATTCCACCTTCTCCCACTGCTTTGGCCAACGAAAATTGAATAAATGACACTGAAAAAAAATATAAACACTTCAACTCTTATTTCCCCATTAGAAGATGTGAAAGAATCAATACGACACAAGCAAAAAGTCAATTGATCAGAGTAGCCAGATTCTCCCATTGTTTGTTCATGTCAGCATTACGAGGTAGATTACTTTGAGAAGGTATAATGCTTTAATTGCAAAAATTGACTCTCCGAGATTCATGAGTAAGGTAGTGTGCCAAAATATTCAAATCCCATTGGTTGGTTTTGATTTACCTCCGTGTTTGGTCATACCACCTCCACTAATTAACGTTCGGTTTCAGCCAAAAAGAAAAACATTTGCGGCAATTGTTAATATATAGGAAACAATTGAGTGCTTTCAGAATTTTGATAAATGTAATACCATCGACATTCCATGAAATTCGATTCCCACTTTCATCCCTTAATGGGGGGGGGGGGGGGGGGGCGGGACATTTAGCTTTTCCACGTCTTCCAAAAGCTCGTAAACGATATTTTGCACCGCTAGGGGAGACGACTAATCATGGAAATTATTGATGAATGCTGATAAACAGAAAGCGGCCTTCTACATTATTCATGCCTCGACTTCGTCAATTCATCTTTTTAAAACAGTGAACAAAGTCAATTAGGTCAATTTGAATAGTTCTGTATCCGCCCATGAACCGGCCAAAAAACCTGTCGTAAAAGCCCAGGCAAGGTGCAATTATATTAAAATTCCCCAGAATCGACTTCTTAGTCAAAATTAAAGAGCATGGGATGTGCGATAGACTTACCTCCACGTGGTGCACCCTGGGTAACGTATAATCATATGGCAAATAAGTCTATTAATCGGCAGTTGACTACGATAGACTTACCTCCACGTGGTGCACCCTGGGCAACGTACTTTCTTACGGCAAAAATTCTATCACTCGGCATTCGTTTTTCAATAGACTTACCTCCACGTGGTGCACCCTGGGTAACGTATAATCATATGGCAAATAAGTCTATTAATCGGCAGTTGACTTCTGACTTTGAACTACCATCATCCCACTGTATGTCTCATTCTACCCCTTCACAATACTCATCCTACCTTTTCTCTGCCTTTGTGTCTGTCTGTTTCTTTTACATCTGTGAATCACTCTTCTATTCCCCCTCTTGAATTCTTCTCACTTTGATGTTCCTCCTACCCTCTGTGAAGCCCGAAGTCAACTAAAGGGCTAATGATAACTATCAAAATGCCTGCCATTTGAAATAAATAGATTAATTAAATAAAGAGCATACCAAATTAATTAAAGAGAGGTCATACTCACCTCGAAGGTAAGTTGGCTCACGAGTTCTGCAAAAGAAGAGAAATAAGAATAATTCAAAGTACAATTTGACATTTATCCAGTAAAAGGAATTTAAGGCCAAAAAAAGAGAAATCACGTCGGATTAGAGGATAGGAAAGAAAAGAAAGAAGTACCGCAGTCAACCCAAGTGACAACTAAAAATTAAACGAGTGTGAGGACCAGAAACTGCAAGCAGTTGTACTTGCAAGGGCCATGTGAAATTTAGAGGAGTCAACTTGATTGGCACCGAGTTGCGTTGAGATCTTCGACTACCTGTCGAGTATTTAGCTGGCGCGGAACTCTCGTGGATGAGAGTTCGTTGTTGAAGTAATCCACGTGAAGTTGGAAGGCCGTAAATGACGTACCATGAACTGGGATCATGAGGATCCTCCTCTAGACCCCTAAATCGAGTTACTTCAGAGGAGATCGATTTGGCAAAATTTGAACGCTTCCGAAACACCTTGTAGAAGCTTAAAATTATTTCATTTTGTTTTAATTAAGCGTTATAAATCCATTTGAGAAGTTAAGTATAATAGCATTGTACTTTGCAAAAATGTAAGCCCCATTAAGAAATAAGAATGCGATTAATAATGCTTTGAAAACAGGAAGGCAAAACTAATTTTGTGAATTAAGTAGAAGAGATCTGGTAAAATCAATAAACTTTTGAAAGAATTTAATACTGAACAGGATTTATTAATGCGATTGCGTTCAAACTAGCGCTGAAGTTTCCTGTTTATCACAATTGAATAGCTGAAATCCTTGGCTTCAAGGATTTACACCACCTGAATAATTTATAATTGACATATGAGATACTGAAGTATTTATTAAGAGACCAAAATTTCTAAATTTAGTTTTTTTAAAGAGAAATACTGATTTAGATATCTTTTACTATGGCCGATCCATTAATAATGGAATTTGTCATTAAACTTCACAGCACTGAAAATATGGAGGAAAAGCGCTAAACATGAAATCTAATTTTTTCAATCACAATACGAGAAGTGCTCGTAAATTCATCAGAGGCTTCCAAAAGCCCCTCTCTACAGCCTCCCTTGTTGCTTAGAATTAGACACACAGCACTAGATGCACGATGATAGTCGTGGGGCACGTTAGATCGCATTTAGTAAAAGCACATGCCAAATAATAATATTGATTAACTAATGAGAAAGGTCTGACGGTAGATCTAATGATAGGAAAAGTATGGCCTTTGCTGTTATATTTGCGGTGGATTAATGGTAGGTGCATTCAAGAACCAATCTAGATATCCAATAGGCATAGCATCATCGAGGTGCACTCACCCGCCCTTTGAGTTGGAAGTTGGAGGTCGGCCGATATTTCCACTGGAGCCCCTGAATCCTGGCGGTGCAGTAGCGATTGAAGAGGGTGAAGTGGGATTGCCAGACCGCAAAGAGGCTTGAGAAGGCGGTCGCCGAGAGATGGGAGTGCTAGCAGTAATACTGGAAGGTAGGCGTGGTACGTGTCGACCACCTTCGCCACCAGCAAATATCATCTGTCGAGATCCTGCCGTTGCAGTTGCAGCCCGACTCACTTGAAACAAGAGAAGTGAAATATGCCTTTAAAAAATTGATATATATATATATATATGTATATATTTTATTGGGTCTAATTTGCATGCGGAGTTTGAAAATTTGCATGCACATCATGCATGAAGATTGCGACTGTGAAATGGGATGCCTGGCTGTAAGTAGCAAGTTGCAACCAGCTATGTGCTAACATCACGATAATTAAATAATTAATGAAGTAAAGGATGAAATTAGATAAGAATGAAAAAAATTAAACTCTGTGAGATAGGAATCTATTTAATTAATTAATAAAACGCCGCCGCTGTGATTTTGCTATTGAATGATTGAGAGTGGCTCGAAGGAAAATGAAAAGTACTCAAAAAATAATGATATAAAAAATAATCTTGGACAAACTATCAAAGAAGACATTCATAAATTGACGTCTGGTAAAACATTCGTAGATAATCTTTTTATTTTTAATAATTACTCGAAAAAAATAAAAGAAATTAAATTTCGGCTAATTTACTTCAATCTAGTAAATAAATATTACCTAACCTTTCACTAAAATACACCGATTTTCCGTTCTAGAAAACGAACTAGAATTGAGAAAAACTTAATTAAAAGAAAATCTACTACGAGAATTATCCTCAATTACGTATTGACCGTACCGAGTGGTGGAGAGTCTAGAGGAGGCTTTATTAATGCTACCTTTTGCAAGATCAAAATTTAGGGAAATTGATGATACAGATTTATTTGCTCAGCTTAATAGAAATTAATAAATCAAGCCCATTGATTATAAGTATGACAGCAAGAAATTGGCTATGTTATCAATACCACAAATAAAAAAAGGACCCAGCTACTCAACATTAAACGGTATCAGTAAAATTTCAATTAAAAAAGCTAAAACTTCGGGAGAAAATTATTCTAAATTCTTCAAATATATTCATATTTTAAAGGCATCATTAAAACACCGACAGCACATGAACAAAAAATCCCAATTCCTTACTTCTTACATGATTATTTAGACAGAAAAAAATTTTCTGCGAGCGAACAAATAGTAGTAGTAATATTCAAAGAGCAAAGCATAATTTAATTTTGATACTTCAAAAAATAGAATAAAATTTGGACGATCATGCATAACTAAAGATTACGATTTAGAGAGTTAACTGGATTGAGCTATTTTATCAAAGTTTTATTAATAAATGACTGTTTAAGGTGGCTGAGATTTGGGTAAACAAAAATGCTGATTTTTGGATGCAAAATAACAAAAAAGCAAATTATAGAGGAATGACGCGTAAAAGCATTCACCCAAATCCGCATGCGAGAAATTGCACAAAAAAGAGAGGATATATTTTACAACACCACACAACACCATAATGAGCTAGAAAGGGGGGAAAATATAAAGGAAAAAACATATTAGACAGTGTAATTCTGTATTTCAATTTAATTTAGAAAAGTGCTTTGACTTAATATTAAAATTTAAAAAAGAAACTTAAAGATAACGTGAAATTAAAAATAGAATGAGAAAAAATTAAAGGGTTAGCGGATCGGAACGAAAATTATGTCAAAAGTTATTGCCATCTTATTTATTTAAACTAATTTTGCAGAAATATTGATTTAACAAGAAGTTAATTAAGCTAGAAATGTTTATTTTCACGAACAAAAAGATATACATTAAAAAGAAAATGATCTTAAGTAAGGCGGTGGGAAGTGGTAATTGGATCCGACTTAAAATCGGATACATTCGAGGAATTTCCAACAGGTAAAGCTAAACACGTGTTAATAAAACATTAAGTTTAGTTTGAAAAGGGCTATACAGTTTTGGGAAGCATACACATAAATAGATTAACTAAATTAAATTCAAAGTTATTGAAAAAATTATTATAAATCATGTAACGGTAAAAAATATCAAGCGCCAACTGTTTTGGAAAAAAGTGAAAATAAATTACCTCTTGATTCGCTTAAAGTACGAGCAGCGATCCTGCGTGTAGGTGAATGCGTACCTCTTGATGATTCCAGAAGCTGCACTCGACGCAAGCAGTCTGCTAGTGCACTTTTCAGGCAAGTTAATTCCTCCATTTGGTCGGAAGTACGCTTTTCTAGGTAAGCTACGCGATCCAAAAGCTCATCTCTTTCCGTATTCATCAGACCATCTAGATGACGTAATCGTAAATTAACAATGATAAATTTTTGCAACAATCATTCAACGTTAAAAATGTAAATATTAAACCGGCAAATTCAAAATTCTTAAATCTTACCAAATCCTGTATTTCCGTTTGACATTTTGACGCTTAATGGCTAAATAGGTTAATATGTAGGTACGCCCAATTGACCTAAGAATTTGATCAATATAAACGCATTACTAATAATCGAATAGATTTTGATAGAAGCAATTGAATAATATTTTATGCAGTTTATTCTAAATCGGCTCGAATGAATTAATAAAATGAAAATTAATTTGTTAGTAAGCATATAACATTTTATGTATCTCAAGTAACCTAAGACAACTAATTTATACCAAGTGTCGTTAAGAATTTCTTAATAAGACATTCATAAATATGTTCCTTCAATTATTAATAAATTTCTTCGTGATTTTATTAAGATTTTGTTTCTTTGATTTCCAACATACGACCAAGCTTTTAGGATCTCTCTAGACTATCTATTTTCTAAGGAAACATACCTGGAAATAGAGGAACTTAGAGAATGAAATCGAGAATATATTTTTTAGATTGTTAGGATAAATATGCTCTCTAGATATTACAATGCTACGTTAGTTAACTTTCAATTGGTGAACAAACAGAATAAATATATTAGTTACTCATAGTGACTTTCTTGTCTTTTAAATTACATGAATCTATGTATAATAACCGCAATAATTGATAGATGATTGGTTTAGACTAACTGTTCCTGTTCTCGAGATAGCATGCACTATCACGCCAATTAAACGTTGAAAAAACGGCTTACTGCACATTACTCTAAGTGGTACAGACTCAACGACTTTGGTGGAGATTGCATAATTTATGTCCAAATTAATGACGAGATTATTACTGAGTCCTTAAGCCGTACTAAATCTCTGGTCTCAGCTTAAGTGTGCCACATAGCATTTAAAGACAGAGAGGTTTTAAAGAAATTGATAAAATTTACTTGAAGGAAATTTTGGTAGCTAATATAACTTCAGTCAATATGAAGCCTGTTAAACCAAAGAAACTTTTAGGTAGCTTTTCAAATTCGAATTACTTCCCTTGCTATTACGTGCGTTAATATCAAAAAGGCTGAATTTTACCTTATTCAGATTGTTACATAATGCTTCTAGCCCTATTAAATCGTCAAAGCTCTATGTTTTATAATTGCACGTCTTTCATCTTCATATACCGTTTTACCTCTGTCTTAATTTTACCTCTTTTCTATTCTTCTTTCTTCCATTCGTTATGTATGCACGTTTTCCTTGAACTATTCTTGGAATTCTTAATAGGACCGTGGTTGGTGACTGGTGATCGTTAAAACTTGGACCAAACTCCAATAAATTAATGAAATTACCTTTTAATGTCAAAGCTCGCAAATTTTCCTCTTGCGAGACTTTCAAAAGCTTCTGACAAAATAAAAAGATATTGCTCTCCTCAATGAACCACATTGAATCAAATACATATATGGAGAGTAATATTAAACTCAAGAGTCATTAGTTAAAATCCCCCTGCCACAATTTTTCAGGAATAAACCTTTAAAAATGCTTGAAAGCATTCGAAAGGAAATATCCATACACTAAAATTAAAAGCTATGCTATTTTAGCCTATTGGCAATCGCGGTGTGATACATAATTAAAATGCGTCGCTCACTATGGGTTTTGGTTTACCTTTGTTTAGTATCTTCTGTAATTTGTCGTCGCCACACACTTACTCTTAAAGTAAAATTTTTACTTTGCTAATATTTTCTTAGAATGACGCTCGTCCAGGCATATTGTGCAGCCAATTCGCGTATGGAACCCAAGGATCGCTCTCCGTTCATTTGTCTGGGTTTTCAAGTAAAAACTTGAGCCCCCTGGTAAAATAATATGTTATTTCTTATTATGTGCTTTTCCCATTGAATAATTTTATGTAAATCACGTTAAGGGTTTTTATTAACTTTCTACTAAAAGCTATGACGTGGCGTTGAATTGGATTTAACGGAAATTTTCACTGAATCAAAAATGATTTCTATTATAAAATCTTATTTTAATTGTCATTGTTTCGGATAGGTTGGATTCTCGCTGGAGAAATCAACAACAAACAGCTTAGTAACTTCCTCGGTAGGTTCTCCTTCACCTTATATATTGTGATTATAGAAGCAGAAAAGCGGTAAATGTTTCCTCGAAAATCCAACAGATAAAAGAGTATTCTCAATAAGACTGGAGAAGAAAAGGTATGTATAAGATGTTTTTTCGCATTAGAATTTTTTTCGCGTTAAGGGCCAAATTGATGGATCGTACTGATCAATCAATTATAATTATGTCTGGCAAGAAGCTTCGATCATTCAATTTTGCTGGTCCTGAGGATGAAAAGACATTCAAGACACTCAGACCACTAATTTCTAACTTTTTAGACGAGTATGCCACGTCCAAATTTGATGCTGATAAACTTGCGGATGAGATCGTCAAGGTATTGAACTCCGATGAGCATTTGCATAGCCAAGTTCTCACTTTTGTAAAACAGAGCGAAAGTGCTGAATTGGCTATTTTCGAGGCATTAAATTTCCTTGTCTCGTCAGAAAATCTTGAAAGTGCCTTACAAGATGATGAACAGAAGAGTAATGAAAAGTCAGAAGAAGATCCTGATAAGAAATCCCGTAGAAATCGCCGTGCTGCACTTCCCGTGAAATCAGAATTGAATCACCTAAGTGCACTTGAAGTTGAGGAGACTAATGAGGCCATTGGACCTGATCAGGAGCGTTTTAATTCACTCCCTGGCAAAAGGACTCTAAAAATTCTGCCAGGCAACCAGATATCGCTTAAAAGTGGTTCTATTCCTGTTCAGTTGGATAATCAACAGAATGGGAGGGATGAAAAACCTACTATTGTACAAAAGAAAGTTCCGCAAAATGGTGATATTTCTGGTGCTAAGCAACAGATTCCTGATCCCGATGGGCAAAAATCTGAGAATGTCGATGATAATCATAATCAACCACGCGCCAACCTAAAAGGAAATCAGAATGTTGATTTTAATGAAAGTGTGCAGAAACATGCTGATGAACCCCACCCCGGTGGGCCAAATTCCAGGGATAACGATAGTATTGATCCAAACGCCGACACGCCCTCATTAAATAATAAAATGATGAACCAGAAAGATGTTCGCCAAGGTCCAGATGAACGCAAAGATGTCAATAATAATCTTAAAGAGTTAGTGAAAGTGGATACACGTGATGATGCTCTTCAGGTGGGTAAACCGTCGTTCAACAAACCTCAATTATCAAAAGAAAAAGAAGGGGCTATTCAACAGGTACAAAACTCTGCTAAAGAGGAAGTTGGCCAGAAGTCTCCTGAGGTTGGAAAGGCTAATCCCCCTGAAATCTCAGAATCTCATTCCAGAGCCCATATCTCTGATTCCACGGCGAAAATAATTAAAGAGGTTACAAATTCTTTCAGTAAGTGTGTATAGAAGTCACTACTCAGACAGTTGGCTTACCCCCCCCCCCGCACATTTTAACTCGTTTTATGTGAACTTGCAGTTCAAGCTCACAAGGGAGAAAGCTTCCGCTACACCTTCTCCAATGGAATGGCTTCACTTAACGTATGTTTTGACGTGTCTCTCTCTCAAATACGACTTACTTGATATTGTCATGAAGTGGCATTGTTTATTTTTGTTGCGTCTAGTTTACCGTTTCATTCACAAGCTCAAATGAAATTGGCTCCTACGATTTGGTTTTTCACAACTGCCCAAAAGACCCTCTTGATGCTTCTGTGAGTCTTTTGATTGCTTTATTATATGCAGTTTTGCCGCATTTTCTAAATCTCTGTGTGCTTTGATCTCCCTGGAGCCCTAACATCGTTAACACGATTTTAAAATTTCCTCCAATTTAGCTGCTGCTTTTTTTGATAATCTCTCAATTAATTGATTGATCTGACGTCATCGCAACGAATGTCATGAATTAAGTTCTGATTAGTTTGCTGATCAATTTACTTCAAGTGTGTCCTTGGGATAATCCAGTTAGAAGAGATCTTACCATTTACTAGCTCTTGTGCTTTTAAATGCAGTTAGATATGACATGGGTCTCTTTAATCAATTACTTATTAAAAGAGAAGTTATCTAACCAGTAATCTTGTTTTTGGACAACACCTCTGTATTTTTTAATCACATATTATGAAGTTGGAGACTGATATTTTCTGTCAATATCAAACTGGGTAGTTCGGTAAACAATTGTGGGTTTTTTGTTTGCCGCGAACTGAGTTAGCATGTATTCTACTTGATAATTTGTTAAAGTTAGAAATGATATTTTTTAAATTTTGAGCATTTACATGTCACATTTTTCGGATTTAATTTACCTAAAGTGGCGGTTTTGATTACCTTTGCTCTTGCCAAGTGTTTATAATGAAGTCATTATTGGAGCCGCGTACTGTTTTAAGAAGAATGTTCAGAAATAGCTTGGAAAGAACCCAATCCTCGCGGCGATTTCAGCAGTACGGGGGGGGGGGGGGAAGATAGATTATCATGGTGTACTGTGTCTCTGTGGTACAGGGGTGCTAACATACGACCTTCAGTGCTCGAGGTCTTGTCCTCGATTTCTACTGGTCCGCACTCAGTCAACGTCGGAAAGAGGTCCCTCTGATTAAGGGCAGATGCTGAATTCAATATTCTCACATGGAAAGCTTCGTGTTGATGCTCCTCCACCTAAGATGAGTGATGTGGAGGGGGGGGGGGACACTTATCTTGATCGTTTTATTATGTTTTCTCATATATATGTATATTCGTTATATTGGTTCCAATGTGCAGTTAATCTCTCTCTCTCTTATTACGTTGCTATCTAAAAGCTCGAAATACCCTTTTACTTGATCCAAAGATTTAGGAATATATGATAATGATCAAGAAATAAGTTGATTAATTTTTTTATAATTTTAAACTTCGTGCCAGTGAATTTGTTGAGTCTGACTCAGTCAACTTTTTCGAACAGCACTTCTCGGGCACTGTCGGGTCCCGGCTTTGACTGCGATGAACCATTTCGATGGAAGTAGACAGGACACGCGCACGTTATATGCACATGTGCAGTGATATATATATAAATTTGGCTCAAAGTTTGTTGTCAATATAGAGTATTGTGTTCTGAGTTGCATCGTTGCAATCGTTTTCGTATCTTATCAGAATTTGCTAAGAAATTTTAAAACCCAAATCTCTTTATTTTTTTCCAGTCTTATTTGTACCTAGACGTTTTCAGATACTGCATTTAACGGCTAGTATTTACGGTTTCTGGATGAACTCCAATTATCACTGGGCAGCGGTACTTGTTTGCCACAACATGCACATTTGTGTAATCTAATTTGGGTCACTTCTCTTCCATACCCATATTTAATAACTTGACCTTGCAATGACTCAAAGATTGTCTTAAGGCCCCCCCCCCCTTTTGGCATTTTAGATCTTGATGGTTGAGAGAAATGGTGATAATTACCTGTCATTGGGAGAACAACCTCTTGCCATGCTCTTCTGTGTCTTCTCTATCATCTACGCCTGTCTGGCCATGGTTTGGGGTTTCCATCTTCGATTCTCCAAGTCAGTTTCTCTATTTATTTATTTTTTTCATTGTTTTATTAATACCAATTTTTTTCACTACCTTTGCATTTGTTTGTTGTGTTACCAGCGCTCTATTTTACAACTTCTGTCATGTAGGCGGACAACTGTTTTGGCATTTGGTGCCGCTGTTCAGACCCCAGAGAGAGAGAGAGGCAGATAGCTAGAGAGAGACTACATCATTAGCCAAACACTTGTTGACTGAATCTCTAAACTATTTATGCTTATGGAGTTAGATTTGTTTAGCTTGTGATTGGTCGGCGAAAATTTGGGCACTTTTATATGTGGGTTATTGGAATTCCCAGTCCTTTATAACTGATTATAATTAGATTACTTACCAATTGATGAATGGTGGTTGGTTTTAGCATGGCCTTGACATGGTATCGATAGTAACACTCAGTGCACTCCGTATTATTGTTTCCTTTTTCTTTCGATGGCATGGATATGTCAATGCCAATCGGCTCTACTTGTGTCTGTTTATTTATTGACTCGCTTTTTTCCGAAAATTCAATTGATTTGAACCAGTTTTCATATTTGTAACCCTCCCCCCGTCCACATATTTGTAAATCCAGAGATCGTAAATTTAACTTTACTTCTTTGGGCATCCATTTGGCCGGCTAGCTTAGTGGTAGAAATCGAGTTTCTTGTCAGTAGGACCTTAAGATTCTATACTCAAGCTAATGGTTGAAGAACGCTTTTCTGAATGCGCTCATGTCTCCAGGTTTCGATAGGAATTGATATTTATATTTTACACGGGGCTTTTTTGTATTTTTATTGAATTAGATGTGTGTGTGTGTGGAGTTCTTAGGTCGATTACATATCGTTATTTACTTTTTAGGAAGCCCAACAATTCGTGGGTGGGGTGGGGCGAGGGGGGGGGTTGAATTTTATTGATACCCATCTATTACTTGTGGATTTCAATGTAGAATGAGTCTCAAAGTTGGCATTTCTGATAGGATTCGCTACCCCCAATTTGCTATCCTATATTCGGTTGAATTCTTAACCGTTAACCCATTTCGGTATCATATTATTAGAGTCTTGCGGCTGATACTATGACCTTGTTGAGCAATTGTTTTTGCCCATTGGCACAACAGGTCGCGTACGCAATAAGAAATTTGGCGATTGTAATAAAGTTTAGCCGATTCGTTCAATTTATTAACATTTTCGTAAAGTTAACAATTAATACTGCAATTTTATTGTCGGTCGATGTCATTTTCCGAATCGCGATTTCATTGGACATATGCTGAACCCTCACTGTACTGGCTAGTACTCTAGTAAAGTGCGTGTTCTTACATTTGTTGAAGCAGTGTTGGGAATTTTCGTGCTGTTTGCACTCTACTTCTTTTACCGTTCTCTCTCTCTCTTGATTTCTTCTTAATTCTCCTTCTCGCCCATTAAAATTGCCAATTTTCATAGTTAACTTAATCTTTTCCTATTAGCCTTTTTCACTCACTGGTGCCCCCAGCTTCACCCCTTTATTATGTCTTATTCCCGATCGCAAATAGTGATGCTTGTTTTTTTTATTTTATTTGCTTTCTGAATGCATTCAAACAAATTATTCTCTATTTTTCCCGTCTTTAGAGTCCCATTATTTTCTTTAACATTCATCTTTGTCCTTTCCCTTCTTGGCAGTCTTTAAGGGGTGCAGACGCTATGTACCTTACTTAATGCTTCCTCGCCCCC